GTCCCCGCGGACCTCGCCCCGCCCCCGGAGCCGCCGCCCGAGGGTGAGGCTGACGAACCGCCGACCCTGCCCCCCCCAACCCCGCCCCAGCTGCAGAACCAGAACACAGGGCATCGCGAAGTGGCGCCCACGCCACTCACGGGCGCCAAGAGGGGTCGCGCCAAGCCCAGGAGGAGGATTCTTTGAGTAAAGGAGGAAAGGGCCTCATTGCTTCTCACTTCTACCAGTCTTGTTTGTATTTCCTTCTTCAGAACGACTCAGTTCAGGGGACCCTCATAAGGTGACTTAACGAACGCTGACTTTTCTGGTGGACACTTGCCCTCTAGTGCGTGTCGACCCCAGGCACTGGATACGTGTGGGAATTCAGAGTTAATGCTTTGTAACAAAGTGGTCTCTTTAAAAGCCAGACTTGTTACCTGGCTCGAGTTACTCTCCCTTCCAAATCCAGCCCGAGACGTCCCCAACGCTGGTGTCTGTGACTCCGTCCCAGCGTGGGACAGGCTGCCGTGCACTCCCTCGCCCAGCACCCGAGGAGACTGCGAGCGGCTGGGATGCTGCTACGACGCTGAGGAGGAAAATCCCTGTTACTACGGAAACACAGGTGAGCCCCCACGTGTTTGAGATCAGCTGAGGACAAGTGCCCGTTACCTGCACTCACCCAAAGGAGGGTGGTCTGCACCCCGCAGAAGGCAGACACTGAAGGCGACCAGAGGCTGAGGTACAAGCGTGCATCCTGGTACACTGGGCCCCGAGAGACAGAGCTTTCTACGGCCTTCCATCATCCACTCCAGAATCCCACGCAAAGCAAGTCACAGTCAATGAACCCAAGAAGCCAAGTCAATGGGCAAGATGCTAATTAACAGGAATTTAACCAGTTCCCAAGAAACAGCCCCTCTGGTGGCCGACAGTCTGTCTAGAGAGCTTCATTTCAAAAGCCTGTTTGTCCCAAATCACCCTCCCAAGTTTTTCTCGTGTAAAGTGATGCTCATTAAACAGCAGCTGCCACCCTCCCCTCCAGTCCTGGCTGATGAGTGAAGCAGGCAGGTGCTGCTCCTCCCGGCCTCAGGGGAGGCTGTGGGGAGGCTCCGTGCTGTGCTGGGCGCAGGACTCAGACTCCGGCGCTCGTGCAGAGCCTTGGCGAGGCCTGGGCGGCTGAACTGCATCCGGGTCGCTAGGTCAGCAGCAGGGCTGCCAGCTTCTCTAGGAGGCTGGGGCGAGTCAGAAGTCACTGGCCTAACCGTTAGGCCTTGTCTGGCCAGCCCCGTAACGGGAGGCCACCTGCCTTTAGCACCACTGCTCTGGCGTTTCAGTGACCTCACGCTGTACCCAGGACAGCCACTTCTCCATCGCCGTGTCTCGGAACGTGACCTCACCCCCGCTGCTCTTGAATTCTGTGCACTTGGCCTTCACGAATGACAGCGAGTGTGAACCCGTGATGGTGACGCACACCTTTGTCCTGTTCCAGTTCCCCGTCACTGCCTGTGGCACCACCAAGCAAGTGAGTGGGCTGGCTGCGGGCCCTGGTCTGACAACGTCGGGCAGGGATGCCCGGGACCGGGGGAGGTCGGGGATCTCAGCCCTGCAGGGCACACGGACCGCGGCTGGGTAGGTCAGACGGTCTCCTCATCCCAGAGGAAGGGGTGGCCTCCCTCTCTGGGCCCGCAGCCAGGCCATCACGCCTGTGCCCCCGCGTGGGGCTGGCCTCTGACCGGGCTGCAGAGCAAGTAACATGTCCCTGCTGCCCCCCTGGGACACAAGCAGGGAGGTCCTTGGAGGTGGCTGGTGTCTCTGGCCGCCTCATCTGAGCACTCGGAGCCTCTTGCCGTCCCTCTGTCCGGAAAGCAAGGTGCAGTGTCCACTTCCCAGGTTAGGGGAGGCCCTACCTGTGGCTCCATTCACGCTGCAGCATTTGTGCAGCATCAGAGAGCATCTGGGTGGCCGGGTGAGGCTGGGCCAGAGCGAGCTCCAGAGGCGGCGGCAGCACCAGGCTGCGGGGTGACGGCCGCCCTCACCTGCCCCTGCAGGTTACCAGAAACCATGCGGTGTATGAGAACGAGCTGGTGGCCGCCAGGGATGTGCAAACTTGGAGCCAGGGTTCTATCACCCGAGACAGTGTCTTCAGGTAAAGGTCTCGGTTAACCCGACCCTGCTTGGCCAGGACGCCTGACTTCCCTTCCCCCACGAAGCGGGAGCTCTAGGGCGAGCCCACGAAAATGCCGCCTCGTGCGGGAGACTGTCTGCGGCCTTGGCTGTCCGGTCTCGCTGACCATCATTGGATCTGTAGCCCTGACACCGACTTGATCCCAGCCTCAGACTCGCCTGGACCTCTGGTTCATCTGACCGGCTCTCCTGTTTCTCATTTTGGCCTCCACTGTCTAAGCTGCAGCAAAAAGGATCCCTTTAAAACCCTAGACCAGGGGGAGGGACAGCTCGGTGGCAGAGCGTGTGCTCAGCACGCACGAGGGCCTGGGTTCCATCCCCAGTCCCTCGCTGAGAGGAAAAACTAAACAAAAACCTAATTATCCCCTCAAATGATAAAAGTAAACTTATTTAAAAAAAAAAAACTCTTAGCACAGAGAGCTCCTTATGTGGTTTCCCGTAGCTTCAAGGTAACATCCTGAGCATAACCTCAGGGCCCTGCACCAGGCAGCTTCTTCTTCTCCAGCCCCATCTGGTCCGACGTCCTCAGTCCTTCACCCACTGTCCCCTAGACTGTCCCTCCAGTGTCTTCAGAGGACCTCAGACTTCTCCTGCCTCCACACTGTTCTGTCCTCTCCCCCGACCTCCCCGCCACTCCTCTCCAGCCTCCTCTGGATCCCAGTGCCTGCGGCACCTTCCTGTCGGTGCCTCCCCCTCCCCCGCACCATGTCTCGTGCCTCTGCGGCTCTGCCCAGCTCCCGAGTGCTGGCAAGTCCAGTCTGCAGACCAGGTCCATGAACACGGCTCTCACGAGGCCGGAACCACCCCCAGCCTGGCTCTAACTCGCCCAGCGCGCAGCCGCAGCAGCCCCTCACCCCTGCAGAGAGGTGCCCCCCACACAAGCTCTTGTAGAGAGGTGCCCCCCGCCCCACGAGCTCGCCGGTCAGTGTCCCGTTTCCCCCCCCCCAGGCTCCGCGTCGGCTGCAGCTACTCCGTGAGCAGCAGCGCTTTCCCGGCGAGCATCCAGGTCCTCCCCCTCCCGCCCCCGCTGCCCGAGGCCCATCCCGGACCCCTCACTATGGAACTTCGGATCGCCAAAGGTGAGGCCCCCTGGGAGGGGAAGTCCTGTCACTTTTCGGGGCAGGAAGACGCCCCTCTGTAACGGGAAGCTTGCCCGAGGTGTTCACGGGGCGACGGTCCGCCCCAGGCGGCCCGGTGCCCAGCCTCCCCCGTGTCGTGGCCCCTGCAGACTCGCACTACGGCTCCTACTACGCAGCCGGTGACTACCCGGTGGTGAAGCTGCTCCGGGACCCCATACACGTGGAGGTCTCGCTCCGCGGCAGGGCGGACCCCTCCCTCGGGCTGCGCCTGCAGCATTGCTGGGCCACCCCCGGCGCGAGCCCCCTGCTCCAGCCCCAGTGGCCCCTGCTGGTGAAGGGGTAAGTGCCGCCCTGCGCCCGCTCGCGGCCCCTCCAGGAAGCCCCCCTGACGGCCGGTGTCTTTGCTCAGATGCCCCTACACGGGAGACAACTACCGGACCAGACTGGTCCCCGTGCGGGAGGCCCCGGGCCTGCCGTTCCCCTCCCACCACCAGCGTTTCAGCATCTCCACCTTCAGTTTTGTGGACTCGGCGTCGAAGCAGGCGCTCAAGGGACCGGTATCGCCCCCCCCCGCCCCCAGCTCAACTGTTCCCACACTGCCCCCTCGGCCAGGGTGCCCCCGCAGAGCTGGGCTGTGGGTGCTGCTCCGAGCGGCGCTCGATGCCAGTGGCGCGAGTGGCGCTTGTCAACTAGCCCTAGTGTCCCGGGGCCTCTGTGAGATCAGTTTCATTCATCAGTCTTCCGGTAACTTCCTCAGCTTCTTCCTGTGGGAGATGAAGCAGGTTTGGAGCCTCTCCCTCTGGGGCGGGGCCACACCGCGACTCCAGTTCTGTTCCCCCAGGTGTACCTGCACTGCAGGGCCTCCGTCTGCCAGCCCACTGGGGCGGCATCCTGCCGGGTAACCTGTCCCGCTGCCAGGCGTGAGTACCCAGGCCGTCTACACTGGAGGACAGGTCTGTGTGGAGGGGAGGCCCAGGGCTAGCCTGCAGCCCGTGGGCAAACGAATCAAACGGAAGGCTCGACTTACTAATGGGGCCCCTTTAAAGCACTGACAATGCGGAGACTCCCAGGCCTTCTAAGTGTAGGCTCTAAATTCTTAGCTCTCAGCCTTAGCTTCCTTCCATGTGAATCCTGACCTGAGGCAGGAGGCAGACTGGTTCGTGGCCTGTCCGTGGCTCAGTCTGGTGAAACACTTCTGGTCTAGCCAGACACAAACAGACTTCAAGTCTGCTGGAAGGCAGGTCTGGCCGCGCCTGCAGGTGGAGCACGGCTGCAGCCCGAGCGTGCGCTCTCGCTGGTCCGCGCCGGTGCGCCCAGCGTGTGCACTTCCGCCAGATCCACTAACACCTACCCAGCCCCTGAACAAATTCAGGACCCCCTGAAGCTTTAAGTCCTTCTGGCAAAAAAAAAAAAAGAAAAACATAGTATTTCTCATAACTGTCGTTACATGCTCGCTACTCCAGTGACACACAGGCACGTGACACGTGGTCCTCCCCGAGCCACGCCTGTTTCTCGTGCGGCCCTCCCGTCCAGTCTAAGAGACGCGCACTGGGAGCGCTGCGAGGCGCGACAGCCGGCACTAGAAACGGCGGGGGCGCGGCTGTCCCCGCCCTCCCGGTCTCCCTCGCGTCGCGGGCGGGGCCTCAGGATCAAGTGCCGCTGTGCCCCCACCTCCGTCAGGAGGGGTGACCGCTGGGGACAGTCCAGCTTCTCTGGTGAACCCGAGGCAAGGGCGCTCCCCTGAGCGGCGCGTTTGTATGAGGCGCTGAGGCAGGAGCGGAGCCACGCGCACCGGGGACCGGGCCCCCTTCGGACGCGTTCCTGACCACGCCCAGCACGCGCACGGCTTCTACCGGATCCCCGCCCCGTCTCTCCAACAGGGAGAAGGCGCTCGGAGGGCCCCCTTCAGAACAGCACGGCCCGCGTTTCCAGCGAGGGCCCCATGATCCTGCTCCAGGCTACTCGGGACCCTGCAGAGGAGCTCAGGAAATACTCAAGTGAGTGGAAGGGGACCCACCTCCGGTCCTGAACCTGAGCCACTGGCCAAGCCGCAGCTGCTTCCTCACCCTGGCTTACCCCTTGCTGATCTGGTCGGCGGGAACCTCAAAGGGACTGTCCAGCTCTCTCCCCAATAGCTCACAACCGGCAGCCTCCACCCGGCCCGGAGGCACCTGGCTTCACCCGCACTAGCCCGCCTTCCCCGCAGGGTCTCCGGTGGACGCCCGCGCGCTGTGGGTGGCCGGCCTCTCTGGAACCGTGATCGTCGGAGCCGCCTTAGGGGCCTTGTCCGCGTCCTGCTTGGCCATCAGGAAGCGGAGATGAGTTACGGACCACGCGTGTCAATAAAACCCGTTTGCACTAACAGCCTGTGCCCGCTTCTCATTTGAAAGGTAAAGAGCAATTTCTTGAGCTCATCTGTCGGCGTCTCCTTTTTCCAGCCTGGAAGTCATTTTCTTTTTTATCTGAGAATAAAAAAAGATACCCTATTTTCTCCAGCCCTTCCATCTTAATAGAAAAACATTTCAGTAGAATTTCCTAGTCGGTGAATTAACAACTTCAAGCAGAATCGACAAGAACTAAAGGCCTCAGACTTAGCAGAGACCCCGGCGCGCTCCTGAGGGGCAGCGAGCAAAGCTCTCCCCCCAGAGGAACCGCCCGGGCAGAGTTCGCCTGCAGCTCCTCACGCGTCCTCCCGACGCCGGTCCTCGGGCTCCGGTGGGCGGCAGGGCCGAAGGAGGCTGAGGAAGCAGACTGCCGGCCCCGCCCGGGGCTTCTGATGCGGTAGCTCTGGGCTGAGGCTCGGGGGCTTGGTTTCTCAGCATTTCTCGGGTGCTCCTGATCTTTCTATTCCAAGCATCACACTTCAGAAACTAATGTCCGGAACAAAGCCAAAAAGAGGTATCTGATCGTGGATGACCAGCTGGAAATGGTGTGATCAGAAGAGGTGCTGTTTCGAGCCAGAACCAAAGAGTCACTTCCTAGTTGAGTAGCTCTTAAGACTAGCAGAGAAATGGGACGTAGGAGTGGGGTGACGTCCCAAGCTGAACATTCCAGGCAAAGGACTCTATAACTCAGTCCTGGCGGTGCTCCGGGGACGGGTGGCCTCCTCTCTTCCCAGGGAGGGGAGTGGGCCGGGGGCTGGAGGAGGCTGGAAACGGCACCTTGACGTCGGCCGCACGTGTGGAAACGCTTTACGGGGTCTTCATGTTTGATGAAGTAACCACCCCTCACATCAGGAGGTGACATTAGACTATTTCAGCCTCCAGCAGGGAAGTTACTCACGGGGCCTGGGCACAGGAGGGACAGGAAACCACAAGCTGCGCCCGAGATCAGTGGCCATTCAGGAGGAATCCTACTGTTTTTAGTAGAAGCCAGCCCCTGCCACCTCCACCTCCACCTAGAATGTTCAGACCAGGGTCTGGTGTGACTGTCGGCCCAACATCTAACCTCTGCAGACCCAACCTTCTCCCTCCTGAGAAAAGGACTAAATTGTCTCTACCTTTCTGTCTCTGCACTTTTGGCTCTTAGAACATTCTTAATCCCATCTCCCGTTGGTCCTGCTTCCTGGCTCTCCCTGGGAAAGGCAACTTCCCTGATTCCTTGCTCAGAACCTCCATGCCGGGAGCTGCGGATGTGCTCTTGTGTCTCCACGACAGCACACTTCTGCCTTCTGAAAGCTAAAGACTAGCTTTTATTTATTTTTACTTAATTTTTAAATTTTTTGACAGTCAGTTTACAATGTGTGAATTTCTGGTGTTCAGCACACTGCTTCAGTCACACATGTACATACATATATGCCTTCTCATATTACTTTGGGTTACTACAAGATACTGAATGCACTTCTCTGTGCTCTACAGTATGAATATGTTTTATGTATACCAGTCAGTATCTGCACATCTCAAACTCCCGATTTATCCCTTCCCACCCCCTTAGCCCTCTGGTAACCATAAGTTTGTTTTCTATGTCTCGTGAGTCTGTTTTGTAAATAAGTTCACTTGTATCTTTTTTTATATTCCACGTATAAGTGATGTCACATGGTATTTTTCTTTCTCATTCTGGCTTCCTTCACTTAGAATAACAATCTCCAGGTCTATCCATACTGCTGCAAATGGCATTTTAAAATTCTTTTTATGGCTGAATACTATTCCATTGTATTAATATACCACAACTTCCATTCATCTGTCAGTGGACATTTAAGTTGTTTCCATGTGCTGACTATTGTAAATAGTGCTGCTGTGAGCACTGGATGCATCTTTTCAAATTCAAGTTTTCCCCAGATACATGCACAGGAGTGGGATTGCTGGATCACAGGGTAAGTCCATTTTTAGTTTTTTCAGGAATCTCCATACTGTTTTCCATAATGGCTGCACCAAACTGCATTCCCACCAGCAGTGGAGGAGGGTTCCCTGTTCTCCACACCCTCTCCAGCATTTGCCATTTGTGGACTTTCTGACTAGCTTTTGTTTAATAAAAGTCTGAGCAAGCTTTTGCTGTAACAGCCACAGGCCGGGGGGAGCGGAAATTAGGCAGTCCTGCTACTCACCAACCTCCTCTCACTTTTCCCAAAGAAGCAGTGCTCCTTCCATCCTTGCTGACATGAAAGACTGAAGAGGCCACAGAGAAATCAATCGCCTCCCCCAGGGCTCCCAAGTCGCCCAGAAACGGCCGAACCAGGCGAAGGCTGTCACCTCAGGCAGAGCAGCCGGGGAGTGGAGGACAGAGCAGCAGACAGAGGGCTGCTTTACGGTCAGAAAGTCCAGAACAGGCTTCAGGGATATTGGGTACACCTGCCAGGTTTTGTCCCTTAGTCTCGTTGGAGTAGAAGGGTTGGAGTGTAACGGCTACTTCTCCAAGTGTGCAAAGCGTTCTTGCTCTGAGCCTGGTCCCTGGTCAGTACAGGAGCACTGCCCTCTGAAGGCTGTCAGAATGTGTCAAACATAGCTGTGAGGTTATTCTTCCAATAAAGCACCTGCTTTCTTCCCCTGGGGGTTACTTGGCCATATTGCGATCTGTGGGGTAAACATTAGGGACACGGGGTGGGGTGGGGAGAAGCACCAACCTGGGCACAGAGAGCCAGGGACCTGTCTGCCAGACACCTCACTGTGGCAAAGCCGCAGCCCGGGAGCGGCCCTGAGACGGAGGGGGTGGTGGCTGGGGGTCTGGCCCCTGTGCCAGCCGCCTTCACGGCCGGCTGCGCCACCCAGACCTCAGCAAAGCCAGACTTTCATCCTGGGAGTTCCCTTGTCCTTGTGCAGGACAAAGGGCCTGGCCCAGACCAGGAGCTCAGGGAACTGCTGGGTGACGACACCAATCTGACCCAATTTAACCAGCTTTCAAGGAGCCCAGAAAATCCCAGAGGACGACTGGCTGGCTTCTAACCAGATTCTCGCTCCTGACCAGGCAGGCATTTTAAGGCTGGCAGGCCGCCAGCCTCTGCCAGCAGCCCCCCTCCCGCCCAACTCTTGGGGCTGCCAGGGAAGGAGACGCTTCACCGTAACCACGGACTGTCCCTTCATCAGAAACCAGGCCCCCAACAAACAAATGTCTATCGTTTGACCGTCACGAAACCCAGACGTTAGAGTTCCTGTTAAAACACCACAGCTCACGTCTTCCCTGGGGGAAAAGTACTTAATCAAGGAATACAACTGCCACGAAGAAAGAGCACCAGCCAGTAGCAGCTGCAACACTGGCCCTTCAGAAAGCAGCCTTGGCTGGCCTAGCCCAACAGCTTTAGACATAACTTACATTGCAGGTAATTCACGCATTTAAAGTGAAAGCTGAGCGGTTTCCAGTAAATTCATAATTATGCAACCACCACTCGACTTTAGGACATATTCACCATCCTCCAAGAAACCCCATTAGAAGTCACTCCCTATTTGCAACCCCCCCAGCCCCGGACAGTCACAAATTTGTCTACGTCATATAATAAATGAATAAGTGAATGAAGTCATTTAATTCGTGTGGCCTTCGTGACTCCCGTTTTCACTGCATAATGTTTTTGAGGTTCATTTTCATTGTGTACGGAGTCTGCACTTCAGTCCTCCTTACAGCAGGAAACGGTCCATTGTTGCATTTGTGTCCATTTATCAGCCAATGGGCATGTGGGTGGTTTCTGCCTTTTGTTATTAAGACGAATGCTGCTCTGAACCAGAAACAGACCCACAGACAGAAAAACTTACGGTTACCAAAGGCGGAAGGGGTGGGAAGGAGGAATAAATGAGGAATTTGGGTTTAACTTGTACACACCATGATGTATGAAATAGATAAACAAGGACCCACTGTGGAGCACCAGGAAGTATGTTCAGTGTCCTGTAATAACCTGCAACGGGAAAGAACACGTACGTACAACAGGGCCACTAGCCGCCCACCCGAAACTAGCGCAACAGTGTAAATCAGCTCCACTTCCATGAAAACACCGCGGCTGGGAGTTCCCGTGCGCGTTCCCGTGTGGACCCGCGCTTTCTGCTCTCGGCGTTGCACCTAGGAGCAGACCTTCTGGGTCGCGCGGTAGCACCGTGCCGACCCTTCCGAGGAACTCCGTGACTGTAAGTGGCTTCACCATCTTCCACGCCCACCAGCAAGGTCCGAGAGCCCCGATTTCCCCACATCCTCCCCAGCACTTGTGGTCTTTTTGTCTCTTGTCACAAAGTAGTGTTTGTACACGATTTCTAAACAGAAAAAAGTGTAAAGACAATAAAAGGGCCCCTAATCCTACCGATAAGAATACCAACAGGTATGTCCGAAGTAGAAAGAGAAAAACCCAAACCACATAGAAAAGCCCAAAAAAGCAGAGAAGTGCCCCACCCCACTCCCAGCCGGCCTTCCTGAGGGTCAGTGTCCCGCAGCACCTGAGTCCGGGGAAGCCGTGCCTGGGTGAGCGGCCCTCGGCTGACACGAGGCGGCCCTCCCCTGCCCGCCTGCACGTGGTGCCACCCTTACTCCTTCTGTGTGTGTCTGTCGTCTGTCTCTTGTCCGCAGAACAAGGGCCCGGAGGGCAGAGCCGCACCTGTTCTTGTGCGTCCCCCGTGGGCTCAGCAGGGCCGTCTGTTCGGGGAAGCGCCCTTCACGGGACGGCTCTGACCCGACCACGAGGCAGAAGGACCGGGGGTGCGTGCTGGCTTTCGTGCCGAGCTCCCCAGAGCAGACCCGGGGCGGGGGTGGGCCGAGCCCGGGTCCGCGCGCTTCTGTGCCTCTGCCTGGTGCTCCGCGCCTGGCCTGAGAGCCATCTTCCTTGTCCCCTCCGGGGGCCGAGCCGCAAGCGTCTGCCCAGGAAGCTGCGCGACAGGGCAGGGAACACGGCCATAAAGAAGGCCTTTCACAGCGACGGCCGGGAGGAAGCCGCTGCCAAAGTCCCACTTCAGGCCCGTGAGTCAGCCCTCCCCGCGGTCACCGTGCAGACGCGCTTAGCGCCCTCTGCTGGAGCGGCTCCTGTCGGGTGACGGGGAGCCCTGCGGCGCCCCGGGCTCGGTGCCCTTCCTTGCGGACCAGTCGACGCGGCGCGCTGCGTCTCCTGGAAACGGGTCCTTTCCCTCGTTTGCCCCGCTGTCTACATGAAACGAGTCCCTCACCGTCACTGTCACCTTCTTTAAATCTCTAGTCCCTCAGGTACCATCTTGTTTTGGCTAAAATATGGACACTTTAACGACTGCAGTCGGGGCGCCCAGTGAAAGGACTTACCCTGCTGAGGCCTGACGGAAATTTCCCAGAATTTGTTCCTGGGGCAGCGGACAGAGCACCAAAGCAGTGTTATTTACATAATGCAATTGTGATACACTGTTATTTTGAGGCGGGAAGCCCCGTAAAAAAGACCGGCAGGACCCCCAGGCAGGGCCACTGTTCTCCTGCCAGCACCGTCCGGTTCCCTGGCCCAGTGGCTCTACCTCACTTTTTGCCTCTGAAACGGCTAACTTCTAGGAAAGTGGAACTTACCCCTAAAATTCTGTTGCTTCCCTGAGCTCACTCCTGATTGGCCCATTTGTAGTACTTCATTTGCATGGAGCTCACTCCTAATTGGTTATTTCTCTCACTCCTGACTGGCCCATTTCCTTCACTTTTGATTGGTTGTTTCTCTCCCTCCTGATTGGTCCATTTCTACAAAGCTTGTTCCTAATTAGTCAACTTTTGTTATACTTATTTGCATATGATGTTGCAAAGTGTAAACTGGCAGCCTATAAAGGCCTGTGTAAACCTACAGACGGGGTCCAGAGCTTGGACTGTTAACTCCTGTAGGCTTGATGGTGTAATAAACCTGAGTTCTCCAACCATCTGAGTGCTGCTTGGTCTCTCACCCAGATCCAGGCTGCTGTCACAACTGAGCTGTAACACCGAGCTGTATCACACTTTCCTGCAACAATTTCATGTTAATTATGTGCCGCAAAAAATTAAAAACAAAACAAGCTGTGGAATTAGCCACAAGTCTCCCCTGGTGAACTCATCTAGGTGAAAGGTTCTTCTGCGAGACGGATGGCATCGAAAGGAAAAGATTAGAGTGTGCATTTTATAACCCCTGCAATAAATGTTTAGGAAACACAAAATAGTCATTACCATTTTTTAGCATGTATCACATGCCAGACACTGTGTAAGCCATTTCCATGGATTATAATATATATTATACATATTATATTATATTATTGTTATAATATACTACTACAATACTACCCACAACAGCC